GAGAGAGAGAGAGAGAGAGAGAGAGAGAGAGAGAGAGAGAGAGAGAGAGAGAAAGAGAGAGAGAGGGACAGAGAGAGAGAGAGTTTTGTTCCATACACGTAATGTCCATGGCATGCGAGACCAGTCGCGATTACCCTTCTACCTCACTGCTCTGGTAATCATTTCAGCCACTATCCTCAGTGTTTATACCCTTCGCTCCCAGTCCTTCTTCGCCACTTTCCCTATCCTTGCAGTGTACTCATCATCTATCCTCAGGATCTCCCGCAGTCGCTCTCTGTGTTGTCCTTGTCGTCGTTGATTTCCAACATGCCTTCAATCTGGAGCTACTTTCATCATATCTTATGATTATGTTCGTTGATTGATTTCGTCACCCTTGTTTCAAGATATGTTCATTCTGTGTTCGCGTTGTCTGATGTGATTTCAAGTTTTAGACATTGGTGGTAGCATGTTTGAAAAGATTTCAGACATTCCAACTCTTTCCTTTGATCTTCCTTACTTGCTATTATGATCATCATTACACCATCCACAAAACTCATACCGTGGATAAGTTTCTCATCAATTCCAGTCTGCGCACACCATCCGTACTCGTCGAACGCGCATACCATGTTGGCAATGGGTGGGCTAGAGCCCTTCCCCATTGGTATCCCCATTACTTGGCATAATAATGTTTCTTGTACTTTGAAGTTTGAAGTATGCGTGTTTGATGTCATAGTACAACAGATCCATTAGGCACTCAATTTTTAATGTTCTCCATCCGTAGGTTCCGTTTTTTTTTCTAAAGTTCATGTCCTTTCCTCTTATCTTGTAACACAAGTGGGGTTTCCGTTTTTCTTTCGTCGTTTTCATCATCCATTGCATGACGTTTAAGATATGTGTGTGATCGAGATTCAAAACATATCTTTGACGTCATATGTGGGGCAGATTATCGTAGCCATATCCCCGTATGTTTCTTTTGCTACTTAATTGCATTTCTTCTATCTAGGTAGTAGTTGGTTCATTCCTTTTAGTGAGAAACCAACTTTCAATGCTTGACACATGAAGTTGATAATTCTTGATAGTACCTTCGATGCTTTCCGAGATGACTCCTTATATGTCGACACAATTGGTCGGCGTCTGGTGACGTCCTTGTTTTTTGGAATTGTATACGCAGTTCCGTATGATCCCTGTTCATCCCATTCTGCGATTTTTTCCAGCCCACATCCATGATACGTATTTTTGGCCAATTGAGTGATCTCAGATTCCGTTTGTTGTATAATTTCGTAGTGATTCAATTCCGGAAAGAATTTTCGAGTCTTCTCGTACCAGATTTTACGGCATTCCACAAAAGTTTCTCCAGGATTTATGTCCAATGGTGATAGGATACATTGTGTCAATCTTCTTTTTACTTCCCATACTTCTGATATGTAAAGAAAAATTTTCATATCATTCTTCTTTTCGATGCAAGTAGAGACATCTATTTGAATTTCTCTTTTCTTCCTTAGTGGTCATGGTATATTTGCAATGGTAGTGATGATTGTCCTTTTAATTTCTTCCTTTCCAATTCTTTCGTTCATATGGGGTACGTTTTTTGCATTCCACAAGAACTGATTTTCTGTGATTTCACTTAATCTGCAGACAATGTGGTTCTTATTTTTTGAAAGTCGGGATACTGCACAATTACAGTCCGGTGCTTGTGTAAGCACCAGTTTGTCATTGTGTAATATTTTCCCGACTGTCTTTGATTTTTTAAACACGCATCCGAGATGTCAAATCGTTTGCCAAATTGTTATTACTTACGTTTTCTAAGATAGACTCGGTTGTTGTGTTTCTCACTTGCTTCAGATTAATGCATGCATCAAATGGAATCTTAAATATCATCCTTCTCTTGATATTGAATTCTTCTTTGAAATTCGTATGAAGATGTCTTTAATTGTTCGTCTTTGCTTCTTTCCGGTAATCGATCTCACCTTTGACAGAAGAATCAGTATATCATCTAACGATAATTTATACAGTTCTCTCCGTCTCCATGGTGCCCTCAAGCAGTTAATCAGAATATTTCTATGTTTGTTTGTTTTCGGTCTCGTATGCACCAGTTGGATCACATAGAAGATACATCCATTTTCGATTCGTTTTCTGCATTTTTTTAGCTGGAACTTTGTGTTGTCAATTTTCACAATTATTGATCCGAATGTTCGTTTAATTACTTTTCATTCGCTTGCGGCTTGTCCTTGTACCTGATGTCATGCATCTTGCATAAGACCTTTAGGTCCGCGTAGTGAAGACGAAGGAGCTGCATTTTCGTCATCGGTTCGACCCCGAAATTAATGCTCCGTTTTGCCTTCGACTTCGCTGCCGACACGTTACGATTAATCTTCGTTCGTCCTCTCTTGGGGTGTGGACGCATTACTCGTCCCAATCTGCTTTTGTTCGGTGCGCTTCTGCTTGGCATGCTTCGGCTCGGAATGTTGCGGTTACCATGTACTGAAGTGGAACCTACTGTATAGTTTCCGCTATGCTCCTCTATTTGAATTCTTGGCCAAGTTTATGTGTTCAGTTCATCTCTTGTCACACTGTCTTCCTGTCCTCCCCACGTACATTTGTCTACACCAAAGTGAAACTCCCTGTACTAACTAGTTGCTCAATTTTCGTTGATAGTCTGTGTATCTGCTCCCACTTCTGTGTCATGGTGAGGTCGCCTGATGCTGAGGTGTCTTCTACCTTCCCGACAGATCTTCGACGCTCGAAGATGTGTTGAACGAGTCATACTCATCACTCCCGTTTGATCTTGTACTAAGGTTCTCGTAATCATCCTCACTTATGTCGCCGCCAGTTGTATTGGACACTCTGATGTTATCTGAATCTGGCATGATCTATGTTTCAAGATCAGAATCCCGGTTGAAGTCCCGCCCCTTGTATACGATCAATCCAGGAACTTGCCTCAATGCCGAGATCGCTTGCAGCTTGTCCTTGTGCCTGATGTCATGCATTTTGCATAAGACCTTCATGTTCGTGTAGTGAAGACGAAGGAGCTGCATGTCCGTCATCGGTTCGGCCCCGAAATTAATGCTCCGTTTTGCCTTCGACTTCGTTGCTGACACGTTGCGATTAATCTTCGTTCGTCCTCTCTTGGGGTATGGAGGCATTACTCGTCCCAATCTGCTTTTGTTCGGTGCGCTTCTGCTTGGCATGCTTCGGCTCGGAATGCTGCGGCTACCATGTACTGAAGTGCAACCTACTGTATAGTTTCCGCCGTGCTCCTCTATTGGCCAAGTTTATGTGTTCAGTTCATCTCGTGTCGGACTGTCTTCCTGTCCTCCCCACGTACATTTGTCTACACCACAGTGAAACTCCCTGTACTAACTAGTTGCTCAATTTTCGTTGATAGCCTGTGTATCTGCTCCCACTTCTGTGTCGTGGTGAGGTCGCCTGATGCTGAGGTGTCTTCTACCTTCCCGACAGATCTTCGGCGCTCGAAGATATGTCGGATGAGTCATACTCATTACTCTTGCTTGATCTTGTACTAAGGCTCTCGTAATCATCCTCGCTTGTGTCGCCGCCAGTTGTATTGGACACTTTGATGTTATCTGGATCTGGCATGATCTGTGTTTCAAGATCAGAATCCCGGTTGAAGTCCCGCCCCTTGTAAGCGATCAATCCAGGAACTTGCCTCAATGCCGAGATCGCTTGCGGCTTGTCCTTGTACCTGATGTCATGCATCTTGCATAAGACCTTCAGGTCCGTGTAGTGAAGACGAAGGAGCTGCATGTCCCTCATCGGTTCGACCCCAAAATTAATGCTCCGTTTTGCCTTCGACTTCGTTGCATACACGTTGAGATTAATCTTCGTTCGTCCTCTCTTGGGGTGTGGAGGGATTACGCGTCCCAATCTGCTTTTGTTCGGTGCGCTTCTGCTTGGCATGCTTCGGCTCGGAATGTTGTGGCAACCATGTACTGAAGTTGGTAGTCCAGCCATTGTCCCCACATATCCGTTCGGATGAACCGAAGACGACACGATCGGAGTGCAGGTACGAGTCGGTTCATTGATCTTCTGCAACGCGCCCTTCACAACCGCCATATCATACTTTAGTAGCTTCACGTTGTTGACCTCCTTCTGCACTTCCGATACCATCCTTTCTACTTCATCTTCCGCCTCTGCATTCTTCTGACCGGTTGCGCTTGGACCAGCTTGATTCTGTCCCCCTTGGTTCATCTTTGTCGGCTTCAGTGCTTCATCAATGATGGACTTGAGCGCGTCCGGAGTTAGCTCAGGCTTGTTTGCGGTGTCTTCCTTGTTCGGAGAAGCTGGCTGCTTTTCACTTGTCTTTCGTGTGAGTTGCTCCAGTGTCTTGAGAACTTTGTCCATCTCCCGGCGGAGCTTAAAGATATCTTCCTTTAGATCCGCCGTAAACCACGCTCGATTTCCCGGTGGGGCGAAATCATTCCGTCTTTGCTCCCACAATGGTCTCGAAAACCACCTTGGAGATTCTGACTCCGCCCTTCTTCTCCGTGATGAAGGTGATCTTGACTTATGTCTTCTATCTCTCAGAGTTTTTGATCTCCCCGTTCTTGAGCGCTTCCTCCCTTGATATCCAGAAGATGATGATGAGTGTCTGCGCCGCCTCCTGTTCGACGATGATCGCGAACGCGACATCTTTCTTGAAGCTTGCGAACGTCAGGTAGGTAGTCTTCGTACTTGAAATCGATAAAAAAACCCATAACGCCGTTGATCGTCTTCAGTACACACCAGATAAGTAAAATAGAATCTTCAAAAATCGCTGAGTAATCTCCACGCTATAGTAATCTCCAACAAATCGCCATTATGATATCATGAAAGAAAAGGGTTACGAATGATGAGAGAGAGATAAAGACAGTGAATGTAAAATGAAAGAGTGAAAGGTCTATACAGTGCCAATCATCGCGGGTACCGCCCGCAAGTTCTAAGCACCGTTCATAGAGATAAACACATGCAAATGTAGACAGAACGTTCGAGGTTTTACTTTCACAACATACACATGCAAATGTAGACAGAACGTGCAAGGTTTTACTTTCACAGCATACACGTAATGTCCATGGCATGCGACACCAGTCACGATTGCCCTTCTACCTCACTGCTCAGGTAATCATTTCAGCCACTATCCTCAGTATTTATACCCTTCGTTCTCAGTCCTTCTCCGCCACTTTCCCTATCCTTGCAGTGTACTCATCATCTATCCTCAGGATCTCCCGCAGTCGCTCTCTTTGTTGTCCTTGTCGTCGTCGATTTCCAACATGCCTTCAATTTGGAGCTACTTTCATCATATCTAATGATTATGTACGTGCTACTCACGTACTACTCTCCTCTCTGTCGGAGTTCCGTCTTACAGTGGTACTTGCCTATAACTCCGTTGTTTTTTATACTGACTCGAATCTGGCCAATCACGGGCGGTAGATCCGCCATCTCGTATGTGTTAGCTACCATTCGATGAAAAGTTCCGATAATCGTCAAGGTCTTGGTTCTCTCAGAACCCGCACTCCTGAAGTGATGCA